AAAAAATTTTAAAAATCGTACATAAAATAGATCCAAATTTCACGATAATCCGATTTCACGATAATCCGTGACATTAAATAATCGCAAACAAATAAATCTGCGTTGATTTCTTTAGCAACTTTTTCATAAATATTATAAAAAGGCAAGTAGGATTGAACTGCTGTGCTTTTTAAAGTGGAAAATGACTTAAAATAGTCATCCTCATTGAATACATTATTCATTGCTGATGGAAGTTCGCGCTCCAAATATTCATTTGCAAAAATAACTTGTGGAATTGAACGGTAATGGATGGATCTAGCCGTATAGTTTCCTGGGGATATTAATGTTACCTAAAAATCGAATAAATAATAGGCAAGAAAATTAAGCACTAAGCATAAAATTATAAGTAAATAATAAAAGCATACATTATATCCTCGTTCCATTAAAAATTTCAAAACTTCTAAAATTCGAGGAAGATGGGTTCCTGTAATTATTAAAATTATTATCAAAATGTATTATAAGAAATAAAATAATAAAACTTGCTAAAATAATGAACTTACCTCCGTTCATGGAAGTAGCGAGTATATTCTTGGGCACATTAATTCTGTTCAACGACATGTCTCGATTAATCAAATCTGCAGATTCGATAGATAGATTTATAAAAATAGTAAGAAATATGGCAAGATGCCAAAGAGTAATCGACGGAAATAAATTTTTTAGAAGCATTTTTTTTTTAACGGATTTGTTAAGTGTGATTTGGAGAGGAAACTTATTAACATACAGCCAGACTCCTAAATGCACGCCTTCTCTTGAGCCCAGCTCATATTACATCTATAGATTTTTACCTCCCTAAATGCAATACCTCTCTAAGTGCACGTTTGACTAAATTTTTATGCAAACAAAAAATCTGTGCAGATCTCATGATCGACAAATCAGATTTCAAGGATCATGTGTAACGTAACACGATCAGAAAACTTCAAAACAAACGTTCGTTTTGTTAAAAATCGCCTATTTCTCAAAAATCTGCATAAAAAACCACCTTTAGTGCTTTAACAAAAAGTTTTTCTTGAGCAATTTTACTATATAATCACCTAATCTCTAACTTTATTCTAAACACTAACCTTAACATTAATGAACTTTAAAAAATTTTTTTTGTTATAACACAAAAGATATTTTAAATAAACGATTTGTTTTTTTAATTTTAACGTTACACAC